CAGGCGCCATCTACTGAGAAATGGCGTCCATGTATAGTTCATTGATGGCTCAGACCGTGAAGCGCTCCTACCAGGTCATTGTGGAAGAGCTACGCTCTACCTACATCCTCAAGGAGGAGACAACCCAGCGCCACTTGGTGGCTACATTGAGGCCAAGCAGAAGGTCAAGTTCTACTTTCAAGGGTGAACTCTACCTACTGAAGAATGAAGCTGGCTACGTGACACACATCCGGGCCGATTTTCGCCAGCCTCTCTACGACAGGCTGCGCAGATGTGCGGACATTAACCACTGTGTGCCCTACATGGCATACGACTACATTGTGTGTGAACCACAGCTCTACCCTCAAGAGCTTCTACGTCATGGTCTTTGAGACTATTTCAGCAGCGCTACGTCCGAGCAACGGATGATGAGATGATCTCTACTTTGATGAGGGCCCATGTCAGTACCCAGATTGCCTTCCACAAGGATGGGAGCTGACTACGTCGCCTGCAAAGGTGACCTTCAAAGGTGAAGATGATCATCTTGGCACACCTACTCGAGGGGCTACGCTATTGACTTCTGGGTTGGGTGATCACCAGCATGGAAGATGTTGAGAGCACCTACCCGTCGAAGAGCGGTACGGTTTGGGAAACGTAGCGTGCGCAATTACCGACGCTGGCTTTGGGTTGGCTGCCATTGAAGAGGCGGGTTCTACATTGATGCTATGCGTCATTGCGTCATCAGAGCTGCCTACAAGCATTGCTTAGTGATGATCCCTCACCTCCTCTCCTGATGTCGCCTCCTCCTGCCGGTCTTACTCCAGTGGATGGGCTAGTCTACTTAAAGACACAGGCCTAGGGATCGCATTAAACCTTTAAAGCTACAAGCCTACAGCCAATGTATACTACTTTTGTGATTTGGTTTCTTCATGGTCTATTATGTTTTTTTTTGTATGCTTTGTTCCAGCTTTTGCAGTATTGCTATTACAGATGTACTTCTGTCAAGCTGAGGGAGCACATTAAGAATACTCTACAGGAGGTATCTCTACATGTAAATACTGATGCCATTCTACTTCAAGGCCTTGAGCAGACTGCCCCAAGAGAAATACAAACCCCAACTACCAACTCTGGCTTAACCGTAGGTTGCTGATTTTAACGAGGGAGAGAGGGAGAAAGAGAGGGAGAGAGGTGGGAGAGAGTGGGAGAGGGAGAGAGTGGGAGAGGGAGAGAGATGGAAAGAGGGGGAGAGGTTTGCAAACATTATGTGCCTGCAAAGCTGCAATTTTGAGAAGTCATGTAGTTAGCTGCGTTATAGTTGCTTTGCTCCTGCAAACCAGCAAATTTCAGGAAACACTTACAAACACACCCGCAGCTCCAAGTCTCAGAGGGAACTGTTTCAATAACCAACCTCCTTGTACTATCTTGTTTTGCAATCACATTGTTCTTGCGCAAACAAGACTTTAACTTCCAAGTGATTCTACTCTTATTTATTTTTTTTGTTTTAACGATATATCTTTTAGTGCATATGATATGCATTCTCTTTTTCCGGCAAACTCTTCCACTCCTCAATGCAGTTGCCTCGGACTCAAACAATTTTTGTTATTAGCGCAATCTTGTTCATTCTTTCTATTCGCAAAAATGTTTTAGAACGTTAATGTGAACCAACCAAGAACAAACAGAATCAAACAATTGCGTGGCCACTACCCTAGGCCTGGCAGCCACTACCCTAGGCCTGGCAAGCGGCAAACGTAATCACAAGTGGATTCTAGTTAGCTGGCCTCTTGTTTTCGTATTCAGCTTGCCCCCCTGCTTGTTCAAGTGACGTGGGCAAATAAAGGAAACAAGGCGCAAAGCAAGTTCAAGAGAGGAGAACTAGTCAAGAAGAATCTGTGTAGAGTGTAGAACAGACGAGACCTAGGAATGAACACATTTGCTTGAGACTGCCAATGTGTGTTTGGTGCAGAATAGGTATTAACAGTGGAAGACTTAATGTAAAAAATAGAGATGGCCAACATGTGCTTGTGAGTGAAACAATTTACATTGAAGGGAACAAAACATTTAAGGCAGTAGAAAAAAGGGTCACCTAATTATATAATCCACCATATGACACAAACTGTTCTGCTCATCTCAAGGTCTACATTGTCTTTATAAATCACATACAAAGCGTGCTTCTTCTCCTTTGCCTTGCCTTCACGTATCTGAAACGATCAAGAAGGTAGATTTGCTTTTGGGCATAATTCTCTCTCTCTCTCTAAATATACATATACACCTAGCATTATCTATATGTGTGCACTAAAATTGAGTGCCGGCATCATCATCACGCTCAAGGCATGTGGAGTCTGTCATCTGACTCTGACGTTTTGTCTTTCCTTGGTGAATTCAAGGCTTGTGCTTTAATTCCTTCCACCTCCTGGACTGGCTCCTGAACCTGACAGGTTCCCTGTTCGTTCAGTTGGACTGGAGAGGAGAGCATGGCAGCTTACCCAGATCTTGAAGGAGCTTGCCGGTCTCCAAAGCTGACATCGATCTCCTCGTGTCGGCTTTGAATCGTTTGAGTGTGGCCTTAGAGAGATCTTGGTCGTCTTCGACTCCCCCAGGGTCTGTGGCTGGTGTAGCTGGCTGGGAGTTGGTTGAGCCTTCCTTCGAGCCCTGATGAGAAACGCTGCGACTAACCAAAGCTATATACACATATACACTGGAGATATGTGCGTAACGTGCACACCAATCTGCTAGAGGCTAGAGTGGTTTTCCCTTGGCTAGCGCACACGACATGAGCTGAAGTTCCACGGCACCTGAAAGCAGGGAGGCTGTGGTCCTAGAGCTTCTGTGGTTTATCGTTAGAGACCAACGGCAGATGAAGATCTTCGACTTCTACTGGACTCTCCATGAAAATCGAAAACCTGTCTGTAGAGGTTCATCCTCCTCATCTGCACTGAGCTGTACTGTATGTAGGATTCCCACGTCTTCATTTGTCCTGCTATCACTGGAAGTTCGTAGAACTTGACGATCTCCACCATCTGTAGTCCACCATCAAGGTCCACCATTTGTAGCGCATCATCGACTAACATTGAATTGGATACTGCTTGAAGCAGAACACTGCATCATTTGCATATTCTACACGGGGTTCTCGGAGGACTCACCATCTGAGCCAGACTTGGAGGCGCAGGTGCGGGACTTGGACATCACATTCCTTTTTTGGAGCGAGCTGAACGTGGTGCTTCGTAGGATCAAGCAGCAAGGCGATGCGGCGACATGTGCGAGACCCCACCAAGTGGCGAAGGGAAGCTGGTTGGTTAGTTAGTCATGATAGCCATGACTAGGAAGATGTTTTTTTTGGAACAGGTTTCCCTAGATCTTGCCGTTCTGCTACTGGTGCACCATTCATTGTGCTTGCTGTTATCTACTTTCAACTCTGCCAGGCTTTGCGGACGGGTGACCAGTTGGTCCCAGGCAGTTCTTCTCCGAAGTGTCAGACTTTGTTCAAATTTGTATAAATGTACGTAGCGTCCTTGCTCCTAGTAGTAAGGCACTTGTTACTAGAAGCGATGCACTTGTTACTAGTAGCTTCTTGCTCCTAGTAGCAAGAATGCTCCTAGTAGCGTCCTTGCTCCTAATAGCGATGCCAGGAGCCCCTAGTAGCTTCTTGCTCCTAGTAGTAAGGCCAGGAGCCCCTAGTAGCGTCCGGCCCGGAGGGAAGACTTATATACCTTTGTTTGTAGGTTGTGTTAAGAAGGTTTTGCACTTGCGTGGATTGTCTCGGGGCCTTTCAGCCTGATATTACGCATTTTTTGGCTGCCTCACAGTCTGTCGCCAGGATACCAAGCTTGGCCTGGAAACAACAGGACTGACGAAAGTATGCTTAATTTGGGGACGATCTGAGAATCGAGCAGTCGACGACCTTACCATTCGGTGCATTCGAACAGCAGCGCACCAACATGCGATTATTCTGAAAGGCAAGCCAGGTAGACTCACCAAGAAAGCTTGCAATATCCTTGTGCTGGCCCTTTTATGGGCAAATTGCCTCTCTTAGTCTCTGATCAGTTTGAAAACGGCGTGTCACGTTGTCGTTGGATGGACAGGTTCTTCTTCAAGGGTCGCTGCATGACAGGCAGGCGGCAGGAGCTGGAACCTGGATATGTCTAAAGCTAGTCTCAAGCATACAAGTTGCTGACCTAATCACCTTTTGATCGCTGATATCAGGTTAGTTGTCGCTGTTGTTTTTGAGTCGGTCTGACAAATCCACTTGCAGTTGTTTGAGTGCCCAAACAAGGGTTGATTGCTACGGTGATGTTCGGACTTCATATTGTCAGAATGGATTGATCGGAACAGCGAGAGTCAAGAGCCTGTTGAAGGTCCGGAACCTGCCATGCTGCTGTGTACCTCTACTTTGCTGCGGCCTAAGATCGTGACGACTGGGAATTCTCCAACGTGCAAGTCCTGCAGAAACTCTGTCGCATAACATGTCCAAACGGCAAAATCCGCGAAACAATACTGTATTGAGTTCAAACCCGTGGTGCGAGATGACCCTTGGCATTCTGTACATTTTTGTAGCAGACAATTTGGGGCGCGGGGCAAATGGAGCCTGTCATTGCCTCTGACAACTCAGGTTGGTTTTGCCAGTGGGCCTCTTTGCAGTCATGGCTACTTGGCCCCAAAAGACGTGGACCTGCTGCTGCTGCTGGTGTTCTTTTTTTGTTGTTGGCGGCCACGAATCAATACCCCTGCGACTTCTCTAGTTCTGGGACGCGACTTTGGCTATGAGAGGAGCTAGCCCATCAGCTTCGCCGGCCTCTAGACTTTGCGAAGTGCCCAGGCAGCTTTGCTGCTCGCAGGCGTCGCGAAGACGGTGGGCAGGCACAGGAACAAGTTTCCTTCCAATCTCAGTGCTGCCGCTCGTGCTTCGAAAGCGTGAGAAGCTGAGGTCAACCTCCAGACCTGGCCACCCATCCCAGATGTAGTGAGGAGCTTGAAGATCGCCCAGTGAGTAGAGCTAGATTGGGGAAAATTTGCACGTTCTCAACATGCTTTCCTTCAACCATGGTGGCGGACACCCTGTGCGCCGATGCACGCCCATCGTGTGCCTACTTTGCAGTCCTGGTCGGTTGGCTGACAGGGAAGGACTACATGAACGACTCCTGCCCGAAACATCGCCGACTTGCAACGCAGTTCCAAGCCAATGGGACGGCGCAGTGGAACAGGATTGGGTCGAGATCTACACGAAGGGGGGGGGAGGGCTCATTGGTGTGCCCATTGGGTTTGCCCTCTCGAGCTTGCCCTCTTGCGCCCTGCCACTGTGTGAGAGCTTGGGCTTGGCAACCTGGAGGCCCTTTAGCTGTTTGTGCCCTATAACATTGAGAGCCTTCGGTCTTTTGGTGCTTGATGGCGTCCTAAGTGGATCACGCTGCCTGTCTGTGGCAATTTGCGGGCAAGGGGGCCAGTTCCCAACTTCTGCATCGGGGAGGTCGGGTGCGGGCCATCTCACACAGCTATGGTCGTAGTCGTAGTTGTAGCAGGAGTAGCAGTAAAAATAGGAGTAGGAGTAGGAGTAGGAGGAGGAGGAGTAGTAGTAGTAGTAGTAGGAGTAGCAGTAGCAGTAGCAGTAGCAGTAGCAGTAGCAGTAGCAGTAGTAGTAGTAGTACTACTACTAGTACTGGTACTAGTAGTAGTAGTAGTAGTAGTAGTAGTAGTAGTAGTAGTAGTAGGAGCAGTAGGAGCAGTAGGAGCAGTAGGAGCGGTAGGAGCAGTAGGAGCAGTAGGAGCAGTAGGAGCAGTAGCAGTAGGAGTAGTAGTAGTAGTAGTAGGAGTAGCGGTAGCGGTAGCGGTAGCGGTAGCAGTAGCAGTAGCAGTAGTAGTAGCAGTAGTAGTCGTCGTCGTCATCGTCCTCGTTCTCGTCCTCGTCGTCGTAGTGGTAGTGGTAGTGGTAGTGGTAGTGGTAGTGGTAGTGGTAGT